CACACACACACACACAGAAAAATTTTCTGGAGCACTGATTCAGGATTAGTTTTCACTTTATGTTGGTGCTTCTGATGTGTCTCTCCCCTCCAGCCAAAGAATGGACAGAGTGTGAAGGAGCTCAATGGAGATATAAAGAAGCTGATTGAGTGTCTGTATGACAGTATGACAGAATGCATCTATCAACATCCCATCACATCCTTCGCCGTGGAAACCAAACCACAGTCGGTGTTTGAGGTGGACATCCTGGGGAGGGGTCGTGCAGCCTTGGAGACGGCAAATGATGATCTTGGTGTGACTCTCTTTTAAATACAGTTTATAAGTTTCTCTTATTAGCACTATTCAGCCTCTCTTAGTCTTCTTACTCGTTACTCAGACTCCTATCGTACTGTAACCTTCCTCTCTGTTCTCTTCCTTTATGCCTCTTTTCAGTCTTGCAGCTCTCTGTGAGTACACTGTGTCTGCTGCTGGAGGTAATAATGTCACATGACGCGTGCCATTATTACTTTGCTGGTTAAAGTCACAGGACAGCAGTGATGCTGATGATTATCTTACGCGTGTTTAGTGTGGGTCTGTGTTTGATGTCATGTGAAAGCAAATTAAAGGCTCCCTCAATTTTATAGAAAATCCGAAACGGAATTAAATGATTTGACTGATATCTGTTTTTAAGTCCAAATTTTGTTTCCAGCTGACTTTTGTTTTACAACATAGGCGATAAGTAACAAAGATGAACTTGCTGTCGACTTCTGAATGAGATAGTTGACTTTTGGGTCAAAGATACAACTATTAAGTCATAATGTAACAATTTTACTCTCTACAGCCACAAATAGGGCAGCGACTAGTCATTATTTTGGTTATGAATTAATCTTATACATTTTGGTGAATTGTTTGGTCTATAAAGAGTTAAAAAAATGTAAAATGACAGTGTACAGTTACATTTCATAATTAGAAATCATGAAATGTAATTACATAAACCAAACACGTGTCAAATAGTTTTTGAGTTTCTGTTGTCTTGAAGCATGCAGGGGGTACTGTATGATAGTGGAATACAGACGTGTGTGTGTGTGCGCATGTTCAACGATTGCAAGTTTGGGTGTTGATGTCTGCAGTGCTGTTTGAACATGCACAATTTTAACTGTCCATCTTTGGTGGTGGTTGCTTTTTGCTACCAAGATTTCATAATGTGTTTGGTCTTAATACAGGTCTGGCCTTTGACTCCTGGGATCTGGACTACTACACGTCGATGTTCCAGAGGATTAAAAGGAACCCCACCAGTGTGGAGTGTTTTGACTTGGCCCAGTCCAACAGGTGGGCTTTGACTGCAAGGAGCGGATTAGCAGGGCTGCTTTGTGTTGTGCATGTTGCTCGGCTCTGTGTTTTTTTTTTTTTTTTAATTCTCTAGTGTTTTCTTTGTATCCCGGTGTCCCAGCGAGCACAGTCGTCACTGGTTCTTCCGTGGCCGGATGGAGATTGACGGGCAGGAGCAGAAGGAGACTCTCTTCAGTCTTATAATGGACACCCAGCAGCACAGCAACCAGAACAACGTCATAAAGTTCTGTGACAACAGCAGGTAGGACTGGAAACCACAGTGTGTGTGTGTGTGTGTGTGTGTGTTTATGTTCACACTGACTCATTGTGAAATGTGTGTGTGTGTGTGTGTGTGCAGTGGTATCAAAGGGATAGAGCTGGAGTGTGTTTACCCTAAAGATCCATCCCAAGCCAGCCCGTATGAGACCCGGCGTTCACTAAGACATGTCATCTTCACTGCAGAGACACACAACTTCCCCACAGGTCAGGACATGTAAAACATAGTGTTTTACATAGTGTGCTTTTTGTTTAAATAATCCTCATCAATCCCATTTGACTTCCAGGTGTCGCTCCATTCAGCGGTGCCACCACAGGGACAGGAGGGCGTATCAGAGATGTTCAGAGTGCTGGACAGGGAGGACACGTCATCGCCGGCACTGCAGGATACTGCTTCGGCAACCTGCACATACCAGGTCTGCAAAAACAGTATGCTTCACTTTCTTCAATTGAAATATATAAAGTAGTTTTTATATCAGTAATATGTTTGTTCTCACTGTCCATCGCTCCAGGTTACGTTCTCCCCTGGGAGTCGGAAGGAGAGGGTTGGGAGTATCCGTCCAGCTTTGCCCCTCCGCTGCAGGTGGCAGTTGAGGCCAGTGATGGCGCCTCAGACTACGGCAACAAGTTTGGAGAACCTGTCCTGTCAGGTAGGGAACTATTGAAAGATGTCTGGATTGAACAGTTATTAATCTGCTGATTATTTTCTCTATTTATATATTATATATAATAATAATATATATATTCTATTCTAAATATATTCCATTTACTATTATATAGTTGAGAAGCTGCAACCAGAGTCAATATAGATGCCAATTCATTATCTGATGATTGGCTAATGGATTAACAACTAATCTTTGCAACTGAACTAATGATCAGTCAGTTCATTTATTTTTTGAATTTTAGATCAATCATGTAATGTATTAAATATATTATATCTAAGATCTGTTCTTTAGTCTGATTAGTTGCTACTAAACACAAATTATTAAACCAGCAAATGTTGGGTGGTGTTTCTACTCCATACATAATTAGAACAATTGATTTGTTAAAAATGTATTTTCTGTCAATCTACAGCTTGTTTGATATTAAATTGTTTCAGCATTTTTGTCGAATGTGTTCTAATTTCCTCCTCTAGGTTTTGCTCGCTCGTTCGGCATGCGGCTGGCGAATGGAGAGCGGCGGGAGTGGATTAAGCCAATCATGTTCAGTGGTGGTCTCGGTTCTATTGAAGATACGCATGTAAAGAAAGAAGAGGCACAGGCTGGTAATGTTTTAACTCTGTGTGTTTGTGTGTGTGAAATGTGTTTAATCAATGCAGAGGCTGTATTTACACATATCGATCAATGACTCACAGTGTCGCTCTGCTCCTCTGCTGTGCTTGTCGATCAGGAATGGAAGTAGTGAAGATCGGAGGGCCGGTGTACAGAATCGGTGTGGGAGGGGGAGCGGCCTCCTCAGTAGAAGTAAGTTTCCTACAGTAAATCAGACTAGCAGTAACCTTTTAGGTTTTGTTGTATTTAAATACATTTTTGGCTCGCAGGTCCAGGGGGACAACTCCAGCGACAGAGATCTGGGTGCAGTGCAGAGGGGAGATGCTGAGATGGAACAAAAGATGAATCGCGCTCTCCGGGCGTGTCTGGAAAGAAGCAGCGGGAACCCAATCTGTAGTATACATGATCAGGGGGCCGGAGGAAACGGTACAAAACTTTTCTTTTTCCACCACTTACATAGAGATGACGATACAAAAGTTAAACATATTGAATCATATTATAATTTTTCAGGTAATGTGCTTAAGGAGCTCAGTGAGCCAGCGGGAGCTGTAATCTACTGCAGTAGATTCAAGGTAATCGGACACAGCTACAAACATGCACATTCTGTCATTCTGCCATTATCATATCACTCTTATTGTTTCCCTCTTCTCTCTGTCTTTGTTTCATAGAAAGGTGACCCCACACTGAGTGTGCTGGAGCTGTGGGGGGCAGAGTATCAGGAGAGCAATGCCCTGCTGCTCCGTCCATCCGACAGGTCCTTCCTGGAGAGGGTTTGTCAGAGGGAGAAGTGCCCTGTTGACTTTGTGGGAAACATTACTGGAGACGGCAAGGCATGTTTCAGCCTGGATCAAGTGGATAAATGCACATCCACTGTACTAATCAATCCGCACAAACCTCAAGTATCACACTAAAATAGGCTCAAAATAAGAGTCATTGTGTTTATTTCAATCTCCCACAGATTGTGCTGGTGGATGATGAGGGAGGCTGCGGTGATCAAGCAGACAAGGGGCGCTGTCCCGTCGACCTGCAGCTAGAGTGGGTTCTAGGTAAGATGCCGCAGAAGGAGTTTAAGATGGAGCGTCTGGCTGCGATGCATCAGCCACTGTCTCTTCCTGCGGGGCTGAAAGTCAAAGATGCACTGGACAGAGTCTTACGTTTGCCTGCTGTGGCGTCCAAACGCTACCTGACTAACAAGGTGTGTGTTAAAGCTCTGTCTTACTCTGTGTCCGTCTTTAGAAGTACATCTGCGCAGACACTT